TTTTTTTTTTTGTAGTAATAACGACAGTAATTGAAAAATTGAATTTAAAAAATAGAACAAAAATATGGATAAATAGGGTTGAAGGGAGAGGACAAACTAAAATAACAACGATAAAAAATTTTTGAAATTGTTCTGTTTAATTAGTAAAAATTACGATTGCATTTGTGGGAAAGTGATAAGTGATCTTGTGGGAAAGTGATAAATGATCTGATAGGAAAGTGATAAAGTAAATAGCTCAAAATTGTCACAATAAAATGATGAATGACAGATGTAAGAGTAATACAAGAGAAAAGGAATGTAAATAACTTACTTACCTGCAACAGTAAATCGATCCATATAGTTAATTAAATTAATGATGAATAAAAGAATCAAGCAAAAATATGCTCGTAAACTATGTTTAACTTTTAACTTTTCAGATGACATCGAGCTGCTGCAATAAAAATTTTGTAATAATTAAAGATTAAAACAAAACAAAAAAATTATAAGAATTTCGAATTGTTCATTTTTATAATTTCCAGTAGCTATAATTTATTCCATTATTAATTATATTAATACAATTAATAGATTGATAGCTATTACTCATCCAATTAACATACTGGTGAATGTTTTTCGAACGATTAATACATAGTTCATGTTACAGTATTGAAAGAAAAAAGACAGTATATATGGTATATTTATATGTATCTAAATTACGATATAAAATCACGGTATATATGGTCAAGCTACAGTTTACTGATAATGCTCAATTTCATATATTTGCATTTTTAATGAAGTAAACGTAATATTATATTAATTTGAAAATATATTATTATATTAATAAACAAATAATAAATAATTACCATTCCATATTTACTATCTAGCAATTGTTAATCTCATTTGATCACTATGATTTGATTCATATATGGATTTGATCACAATGATATTATTTAACAATCTTTTTAATTCGTTTATGCAAAAAAAAAAGAACGAAAAAAAAACAGCGAATACTTAATACTTATTATTATTATTTAATTTTAATACTTATTATTATTTGATGAAATTATCTGTTTCCGTTCATATTAATTATTTGATTAATTTTATGTACTTAAGTAATCAATTCTATTTGCTTTAATTTTATTTTCGTAGAATTAATTTAACAATACAAAAGTATAAGGAAGAGAATGAATTTAAATATAATGATTTAACAGTTGATATAATTTAGAAAATCTTATCAATATACATACGTATGCACACGTATGTACACTTACTTATACATTTATATGCATATATAAAAATATGCGAGTTACACCTACCTGATTTGGTTCATCATTAATGAATTGTACATATCACAACCGGAAAACAGGATTCCATTACCGGAATACAAGATTCCATTATCGGAATACAAGATGCTAATACGTGAAATATAATAATCTTTGATAAATTGAACTATGATATAATTTATGATCAATGTATAATCAGTAATTCGGATGTAATCTATAACTCAATAATAATCATAGGAATGCATACTTACGTATATGTATGTATATAATCTACTCTAAAGTTTTTTTTTTTTTTTTTTTCATTCAAGAGATATAGAATATTTTAATATTTGAATTTGAATACTTTATTTGGAATTACATCAATTCAAATATTTAACCGCTTTATATCTTTTAATTTCTGTGGAAGAAATAGATAGGAGGAAAAAAAGTTGAAATAACCAAAAAGGAATAATATTTATATCTTTTGAATTATAAGCAAATCATTATAAGCATTATTA